AAAACATTCAAGGAATGGTTTATAAGAACATCTTTTTTATGTCAAAAGTTTTGCCCGGAATATTTTAAAAATGTCACAAGATTTTGATGCAATGTTTCTTGTAAAAATTTCAGGAATGTCACAAGATTTTGATAACAGTTCGTAAAATATTTCAAGTGAATATTCCAGGAATCTTTTAATCTGGCGTGCCCCAGGGATCGCACATTGGACCTATCCTGTTCAATTTGTTTATACGAGATCTGAGTGATGTTATTATTCGTTCAGAGCATTTGGCTTTTGCTGATGATTTTAAAATATTGAGAATTGTTGTCTTATATGGATGAGCTTTTACTGCAGAAAGATGTTGACAGTGTCAATCTATGGCTCAAGAATAATGCCGGTCTGGAGCTAAATGTTAAGAAATATTTGTGCATATCATTTAGTCGTTCAGAAAATGTAATACAATATGGATATTCTATCGATGATTCAGTTTTGGTGTCTGTGAAAACAGTCAGAGACTTGGGAGTATTCGACTTTAAATTAATATTTAATCCTCATTGTGAAGATGTTGTTAACAGGGGATTACGTAGTCTTGGGTTTGTCACCCGTAACCTAGTGCTCAGCTCTCGCCGTATTTCTTCAGGTTACTGTATTGCTCGCTTGTTCGTTCGGTTTTGGAGTATGCCTCTGTTGTTTGGTCTCCATACTACGCATGTTATATTAGTGAACTGGAATCTGTGCAGAAAAAAAATTGAGATCCTTGGCTCTCAGGGCGAATTTAAAGATACGTGATGGTTATCAAATTAACCATGATCTACAGTCTATTTTTTCCCAAGATAGATTTCGACATTGTCAACTTTGAAACATAAACAATGCCGCTTATTGGTCGCAAGATGCCATTTACACGACATGCATTGTAAAACTGATGCCAACCTGCAGAGACACCTCATTCGGCAACCAATCAGGGCCAAGAGGTATTGTTTCGGTTTCATTCAAAGTTGATAATGTCGAAATCCATCTTGGTATAAAATAGACCATAGTCAGTTAGTAGTATAATATTGACAGTCTTGAAGTAATAGACCGTCAGCTAATGACAGATTTTGCTGACCGATTTTCTCTCTTCGGGGATTTCAACCACTGAAAATTATGTCAGTGCTGAGCTCAAAAAATGAAAATTTAGCGACCGGACGTCTGCTAAGCATATGGAACATTTACTTTCCTTTTGTAGCGGCCGTAAAATATACTTCAACAGCTGATCGGCTAATGGGAATTTTTTTTCTGGTTTCTAACGATATCAAATTTGATTCTATCGATTGCCATAAGCGAGAAAATGATCAGCAACCGAGTATTCTTTCACAAGATCGCGTTTTGATTTCAATCCCTTCAGTATGTGCAAACCTTATAGCTTTGATTCTCCATTATAAGATTGTTCTATAAGGTTAATGTATCAAAATGATACGAAAGAGAAATTGGAAAAATAACCTATTTTCTTCTGCAACAGGAAAATAAATTGTGTATGTGCCTAGCAGACGTTCGGTCGCTAAATTTTCATTTTTTGAGCTCAGCACTGACATAATTTTCAGTGGTTGATATCCCCGAAGCGAGAAAATCGGTCAGCAATATCCAGTGGCGGCCAGTGGCAGCCTAGTGTGGTTGTGCGCTCTTGGAAAATTTTTTGGAGGTGCCACGTCCTGTTTTACATTTATTTTGTATGTTGATTTTTTTTCTTTTTACTTTAGGAAAAATTATCGAGAACAAAAATATATGTATTTAAATGAGGCTTGAATGTTTGTATTCTAGCCATAATACATAATTGATATTGAAATTTATAATTAAAAAAAAAACCGCGAACAACAGAGTTGTCAAACCGCCAAAATGGTGAAAAAACATCGAAATATTCTCGATTGAGTGGAAACAACATTGGAAGTGTGTATTCAAATAGCGCACGGCGCATCCCTTTCATCGGGCGACTTACCGTATATTCCCGATCAATCGCACAGCGAGAAAACACATTTACCCAGAGCGCCGAACGATTCCACACCGACCACCCGGACCACCAGCATAACCAAGCGGGAGAAAAAAATATACAAGACAGGCGCAGGGCGCGCTTTCGTTCCGTTCGTGCGAATTTAAAAATAGAAAAATGAGTAGAGAGTAGATATTTATCCTAATTTAGAAAATTGGGTAGGTATTTAATTTAATTTCTTTTCTTTCCAAAATTTTAATTTTATTTTCTTGCTTGGATTTTGGAGGCAGTGCGCGCGCACGAGCGCACTTATTGAGAAGCCGCCCCTGGCAATATCTATCATCAACTAACGTTCTAAAAAGATATCATTTTGACCTTCTGGTTCTACTTAGGATAATTAATGGTTTCTACTTCTGTTTTTCTCTGTTACATGCTATTTCTTTAAAGCCAGTCAAGTCAGGCGTGATTTTCCAATGTTTTGTATCGCCTTCCATCTTGCCAATTATGGCCTTAATTCCCCCCTCACATTGAGGGGCATCCAATGGTCACAAACCGTTTGCCTGTGGCCTTAATGTATGATGTATATTCAAATCTAGAATTAGGAATATTGAATAAGACTGCAAATGTATTATTTTTATTGTTATAGTTTTTTTCAATTGTTTATTTGTATTTTTGGCTATCTTATCTAAATTATTTATATTGTTATTTTTTATAAAATGGCTCTGTATTTATATTGTTGCCTATCTTACCTAAATTATTTATATTATTGTTGTTCTTTGTAAAATTTGGTAAAATGGGTCTGATGCTTATTAATAAAATAAAATGAAAATAAAAACCTTTTTAAAATATTCATGGTAAATATTCCAGAATGGTTTATACAAACATCTTTTTTATGTCAGAAGATTTGCTCGTAATATTTCAAAAATTAAAAATGTCACAAGATTTTGATGAAACGTTTCTTAAAAATATTTCAGGAATGTCACAAGATTTTTGATTGAATGGTTGATTAATCGTAGAACATTTCGAGTAAATATTTCAGGAATCTTTTAATATTTTGATGACGGATGTTTTTGCTGGAATATCTCAGAAATGTTTCGGATTTTAATAAAATCTTCCTAGAACATTTTTAATAAATATTCCTCAGTCTTTACTTCATAAGAGTTAACCTATTAGAAAGCGAATCTACAAATGACAATAGAATTTAAAAATTTGGACTTTTAAGATCTACTTCTAAATAACATTTTCCAAAATGATTTCTACGCCATATTTTGTAAGACATTAGCCTTGTTTTGTTTCTACTGATTCAAATATTTATTTAGACTCGCAAAAATATATTATTATCTCTATAGACCCCCCATGAAGACGTTATCAAAAATATTAAAATAATAATTATTGGCCTAAACAAACATCAGTTTGTAGCTTTAAAACCGAAAAACCTCAATAAAAATCGCAAGTAAACATCCATAAAAACCTAATCATAAAAAAAGGTTATTTCAGGGAGGCTTTATTAATTTCCATCGAGACAGGTGCCCAAAAATCGTCCCGAAAATTATCTTTCTCTTAATGACTCCGAGCCTCCGGCACGTCAAATGTCAGGTCGTTAAATTGTTTTATCTCTTTGGAGCTTCCAAATGAAATACTGCCGTTTAATCGGTCGTTTTTGTATATACAGGAAACACCGGGACAATAAAACGAAGCTTTAATTTTATACTTTATTGATAGAATTGCGAAAATAATTTACGCAGTTTAAAAATGCAATACCAATTTACCAAACTGAGATATAAAACGTCAATAAATTTAATATAAACATGGCTATATAACTTTATGGCGTCTGCCTATAAATTAAAGGTTTATTATTTAATTGAATTATTGTATCATAAAAAGTTTTTAATTGAGAATTTATTGAATTATGTACCTATTGCAATTGAAAAAAAGTAGTACAACTGCGACTGGATAATCGCGCAAACAAATTGAAATAGAAATGAAATTGATACCTACCATAGAGTTGTCGAAACACACAAAGTTATTACCACTCAACTGGGTTTTCTTATAAGCTGTGCGTATATACGGGGATCCCCTGGAAAACGGTTTTCCACAACCACCAACTTATCACCATCGACTTAAGGCACTCAAGGTCCCTTTTTAACGGCACAAGACATAGACTTTTTGAGCTTAAAACACGGAACCGATAAAAATGCAACGTGCATATCAAGTACCATTGATCTAGTGTGTAAATCCTAGCTATCTCGGTCGGCGCAGGATCGTAGAAAATACACTCCTGATGTGTGTTTTACGCGAAATTGACATTTAAGTAATTCTTTAATAAGAATGAGAAGAAACTAAATTTATAAATAATTTTGCGTTAATAATGTCTATCTGTCCTAATAAAACCGTTTTGATTGGTTTATTTACTGCATAATACACCGGGAGCTCAAATTGGGATTTGTGTACTAACGTTGATATACTATTCCAAATTTTCCACATATTCAAAAGTTGAAGTAGATAGTTTTAAAGGAGTTAAAAAAGGCATGTCAGTAATTATTAAAACTTCCACCAAGTAGGTAGATGTTCGAGTGAAAATAAGTGAACTACAAACATTGTAAAAACAAATTCTCTTCTGTCAAGGTGAAGATAAATATTTGAACTAATAAAAAAGAGAGAAAACAATACAAAAGTCGGAGAGCCAGGCCATGTGTTTCTCTGTGGTATTTTTACGGCCCAAGAACGACAAGGAAAACGACAATTGCGTTTTACAGGTGTAAAAGAGACGCAGAATGATTCTCGGAGAAGGCAGACAGAATCGTGATGGTAATGATGAGATGCTGGTTATGAACCGAAGATGTAAGCAGGGCCTACTATAGCGTTGTTCGTTTTTACATGTAATTACTCTGTTTAGTTGACTTTACCACCATAAGAAAATTAATTGGAATATAAGTTAACTTTTGTAATACTTAATGATTATTGAAGATTCTTGTACTTATTGGAGTTCGTTTATCAACAACTTTTACTCCATCCCCCAAGATTTAAGAACTAATCTTTAAATATTTTATTTCAGGTGGGTATGTCTATGCGCTTGGTGGGTGGCTAGAGCCGGATTCTCCTGGACACCGGAAAAAATGCGAAGTTTGACCACCATCCTTAACGTGTGCACTTGGGGTTTTCCTGCCGCTCAAACCGTAGCCGCACTAGTGCAAAGGAACGTAGATTCAGACGAATTGACAGGTAATTAATTTCAATTAATTTTTCAAGAACTTATTCCGAAATTAGCGTATATATGAGAACCAAGGAATCGTTAAAACGAGCAGTTTCGCCATGTGGTGCGGGTTAATTTGAAAAGAAAAACCAGTTAAACATTTTACCAATCGATTTTAAATGGTTTTTGAGCCAGCTTCGAGAAATATTGTCGTGCAAATGTGTTTGAAGTGCCTCTGGGGTAAATACGTGTAGACAATGTAATTTTGTTAAACGAAATATCACTATGATGGTGTAATATTAATAGTTTAGCAAGCTTCGGAAATAAGGTTTTATTCAACAAAGGCTGCTGAGTTGACAAATTAACTAACAAAACTTATAAAAACTACTACAAACAGGTAAAGGTGATTAATGCAGTAAATAATAATCTCGAGAATAAATATACAGGGTGGGGACTATAACTAGAACTTATTCGCTAGAGCCTTCGGATAATATACAGGGTGTTTTTGAATAGTAGGATCAAACTTCCAGGATAATGATACTTATTCATTGAAATTTCAAAAAAGTTAATAGAAATATGGGGCTGCGAATGCTTAGTTTTCGAGATACCAGGGTATCAATAAAGTTTGAAAAAAAAATCGGGTTTTCAGCTCAAAAATTCATTTCCCGATTTTTTTTCGAACTTGGCAGGTTTGTTTGTAATAACAAAAGGTACCGTCTACTGCCAATTTTCTTATAGTGTTGGAAGGAAACACATTTTTTTACCTTACTCCGCGGCGGCGGCGGTCATCAATTTTTTTCCTATCTTTTATACCATCCCGTTGAGAAATAAAATGTCCGTTGCTACCTGCCAAAAAACTATCCCGAGAACGGGTTCGGAACCAATCTGTACACGAATTTCGGATTCTTCGCACAAATTTCACGTTTTACGCAGAATCCTGACAGTGAAAATGTACGGTTCCCTACTGGGTTGGAATAAGGCTTCAAGATGATCGTGATTTTTTGAGATTAAAAATACGAATCCTGGACTACACAATTAATTTCGAGACGACCCCGGAAAATCTCGGCCATGTGGCTTCCCTAATCTACCTACCCATTTAACGTAAAAGTGGCTTCATCTGAGAACAATATCCCCTCTAATTGAATATAAAGTCAAATTCACGATAGAAAAAAAAGTTGACAGTTCACTTTGACAATCCTAGTAATTTTTTTCTGTAGGTTGCCAGCATTTGTTGGCGCTTCGATTCCGAGGTGGGATAAACGACAGGGCCGTATTTAGAAAATTGATTTACATTTCCGAATGAAAATTTATTATCAATTTCTTTAGGGGAAGTTAAGTTATTGAAATCCTGCATAGTAATAATAAACATCAATTAATTCTATGTAATTTTCGGCATTTCTTTTCAAGAACAAAAAATCAATTAGACAGGTTATAAGGAACACGTGGCTTTGGAAATAAAACAAATTTATTATTTTTAAACTTTAATTATGAACATTGATTATTTTAGGTCTTGTTTCAATGATATAGAAACGTGTCAACCAGAAACAGAAGCATTCCATGCATCCAGAATTCTCCTGAGGTTGGCAAAAAAGCTTCAAAAATAAGTACGATTAAGATATCTTAATTTCTAAAAATAAACGAGAAAATTTCTGAAATAAAACGAATTAATGATTATTAATTGAATAATGGAAAATTATATCAGGGTTTGTGGGGCTTTTCTTTCAAACGGCATAGAATATTAACAATCTTAATTTCTATAAATGATAAACGAAGCCATTTCTGAAACAAAACGAGTCAATGGATAAATTAAATAAGTAATGAGAAAATTATTCCAGGGTTTGTGTGGCTTTTCTTTCAAAAGCCATAGAACAGGAACAATCTTAATTTCTATAAATAATGATGAACGAAACAATTTCTGGAACAAAACGAGTCAATGGATAAATTAAATAAGTAATGAGAAAATTTTACCAGGGTTTGTGTGGCTTTTCTTTCAAAAGACATAGAACAAAAACAATCTTAATTTCTATAAATGATAAACGAGGCAGTTCCTGGAATAAAACGAGTCAATGGATAAATTGAATAGGTGAATAGTGAGAAAATTATACCAGGGTTTGTACTATTCACTATCACTAGTCGAGTCAGAGTCGAAGTTTATAATTAGGGGCTGCACTTTGCTCGCAGGAATTATTATATTTTTTTCCTTGTCATATGCGGCCCTAATTACCTCATGCGTGTGTTTTACATAATGAACCCATTGGTCTTTGGACACATTATCCAGCGCCTTCTGCCATGTCCCTAAGACATCTTTTTGCTCAAGGATCAGCTGGTCATAATACCGTTTAGCTTGACTCCATACCATTTCAATCGCATTGAATTGACAATGGTATGGAGGTAAGCGCAAAACCTGGTGACCCGCTTCCATAATGATATTGTCCACAACAAAGGATTTCTTGGTCTTGGGGACTTGTCGGATGATGTTCCACAAGCTTGCTTTTGTGGACGCTGGGTCAAAAGGGATAGCCTTTGCCTCCAACCACCTCTGCATCTCGTCTTTCTTCCAGCTCATAACAGGCCACTTTTCAAGTAGCCTGCCCAAGATGATAATAGATGGTTCCGCTAATTTGGGAAGAAGAACATTTCGCAACCAATTTTCAAAATTTTCGCTGTTCATCTCCCCATGGTAGTCCCCTGAATTAGTTTTTGATTTGAAAATCAGGCTGGAACCAACGATAAAACCATCTTGTCCTCCCGCATGTAATAGTATATTGTTGTATTAGGAGTAGTACTCCGTATGCAACACGCTATTTTTTCTACAAACGAATGTGGTAAGCTCGGGGGTAACTGGATGGTTGAGCGGCAGTAAAAGTACGAGCGGCACTAAAAGTACTTTTACTGCCGCTTCAGCGGCACCAAAAGTACTTTTGCTGCCGCTGGGGTTGCCAAGCAGCGTAGAAATTAAATTTCTACCACCTCGACAGGTGTTAACCTGCTGGATTTGCCTACCAGCATAGAAATCAGTGTTGCCAATAAGCGTGTAATTACACGATTTGCATGTATTTAGATTGGCTTGCGTGTATTTTTCGAACATAAACAAAACGCGTGTATTTTGCGTGTAATTTGAAAAATTTGAGATTCTCTTTAATTGTATTCTGTTTCACGGCTTTTCAATCTCAAGCCGCGGCCCATTGTGACATAAATAAAACTTGACTTTTTCTCTTCCCTTAATTGCTCCTTGCATTCCATGCAAAAGCCCGCGGAATCATAACCTGCGGTCGTATTTTCGAATATTCTCGCACACGAAATTTGATACGATTTCGAATGCTCCCCATTTAATTTACATTGCTGTCAGTCAAATTTCGTGTTCGAAATGTAATCGAATGAATTCGAAAATACGACCCCTGTGGTGGAAACATCCTACATCCTACGTCAGGACGAGAAACGACACGCTGCCTACGTCATCACTGGTGCTTTGGCATGCAGGCTTGAGATTTGAACTACACAGGCCTAGTAAGGATAGGCTATCCTATAGTAGTAGTGTATATTATCCTTGCAGGAAACTGAGGTCCAGAAGTAACCACTTTTCCGGAGTTATCAGAGTAGTTAGTAATTTGATTACTTTCGGACCGCCTTTCTGTCTTTGCCACATCTTTATTTTTGTTGAGGAGAGATGATCAGGAACATTTACCTTCAGATTTGACTGGATTTACCCATTCCCCAAAATCATAAATCACAAAAAAATTATACTTGCTTCTTGGCTCTTACAAAATAGGTACCGACGGTACCGGTTGTGTGCAAAAATCGTGTAATTGTGAGACTGAAAGCGTGTAAAAACGTGTAATTTACCCAGCATATCATGTAGTTTCACAAATTCAGATTGGCAACACTGATAGAAATTAAATTTCTGACATCTTGACAGAGGTTAACAAAGTGGCGTTTTTTTGACGTTTGGAGAAAAATTAAATTTCTACCACCTCGACAGGTGTTAACCTCCTGGATTTGCTTAGCAACATAGAAATTGAATTTCTACCATCTTGACAGGTGTTGACAAAGTGATGTTTTTTTGACGTTTGGAGAAAAAAAATATGAATCTGAAACACAATGTTGCATTATTCTAGTTAAATAATAACATAAGTCTCTTAGGAATTCCCTTGAAAATAATATTATTAACTTGATTGCATCTTTTTTAGCTTACAAAAATAAAACGTATTTTTTTTCTTAAACTCACTCATCTGACAGTGTCATACCTGTTACCATCACCCTTGATTTTCTTCATGGACTGAGTATCCTCATCCTGCCAAGACTTCCTTAAGGATCCATTTGAAAAAATCCATGTTTCATCAAGAAACACATATGGAAGCTTAGCAGGACCTAAGGCTTCGTTGTCCATATAGGACTTCAGGAAAACTCTTCCATTAGGGCTCTTCTTGGATCATCCTTTCTATAGGTAAATCCAATTGTGGAAAACATTCTGACTAAACTTGACTGGGAACCGTGATAAATTTCCCTTTCTTTCAACCGATAACTTACAGTTTTAAGGGTAACATGCAATTCTAAAAACGAAAAAAGCTTGTTTAAATATTGTAGTAGTTACATTTTATAAATAAAATATACATAGTCACATCAGCCTTTCCATGTAATTGAATTATGAAAAATAGTTGACCAAAAACTATTGCAGAAGAGAGGGGTATGTTTTCTGTGCAATAGTTTATTAAGAAAATCCGCAGAGCGCTTTCGGCCCTGAGCCATCTCCAGTGCTGCTTGGTCGCAGGTACATACATCACTTACAAGAGACAACGGACACAAGTAGACGTGCATAATAGAATTCAACTACCAATTAATCGATTACCTGTGAGATTACAAAAACTGCTAAATTATACAAAAAAAGGAAAAGTGACAGGGACGTGGGCGGCAGGCTTTTGACGTCCACCCCCCTATAGCGTTTAACCAAGAATTCGAACTTGGGCATCGGCCACCTGCAGATGACACCTTACGCCTTTAAATAATTTAAACATGCATAATATTAGATGATACATTGAA